CCTCGTGGGAGCTGCCGTGCTCCAGATTGGTTTTTAGCTTTCCAGTGAATTGATTGAGAAAAAGAAACTTAAAGTAATGTGTTTGCCAATAAGTTGCCACACCGGCTCGATTTGAAATGGCATTAGGCATCCTGACTGCTTCTACCTGCGATTGCTAAGGTTTTTTCACGCTGTTTCGGAGCACTCCTACCGTCTCTATTGGCCACACAAACTATCAAACTATGTTGAAGTACCCTCGCATATTACCTGCTACCTACCGTGAGAAATAGGAGTTTGTGTGAGGCAGGAAAATGAGTGAATGTAAGGGGAAGTAGGAGGGGGAGAGGGAAACGCATGGAGAGAGAGTGAAAGCTCAGCAGCGAGGGAAGAAATCTGAAGGGGGAAGAAGAAAGAGCTGCGATTCAAATGCTGCAATCTGACAGAATAATTTATTGAGTTTCTGCAGCTTGGTAAAGAGTTTCTGATAAATGGAGCAAGTCACACTGAACTGTTATCAAAAAATGAGAAGAAGGTCACAGCAATTGGGAAAATATATACAAAAAAATCAGAACTATCCATCCATTTGCTGTACCAGCTTATCCTTGAGGGTGGTGGGCGGTCTGGAGCCAATCCCGGCTGACATTGAGGTGAGGGGCAAGGATACACGACGGACAGGTCGCCCGTCAATCACGGCGCTGAATCTGAACTCCATCCCTCAATTTGTTATTTAACCATGACAGACTGTGAAGGGGCGGCATTGTCTCTTCGTCTGGTGTTCGAACAGTTGTGATTGAGACGGAAAAAGTTTCATTTCCCGAGAAGATGCAAAACCATTTCCTGCAATTTCTAAATCAACATTAAAGAGGAAAAAGTGGAGCTCCAGATATTGACTCAGACTGATTAAAGATACATGCAGGATAAGTGAACCCTGTTTAAAATGTGTGTTGCTGCATACACATGAATAAACGGGAAATTTAGGTCATTATGATTGAGGGGCAACATTAAAGAGAATAAGTTCAGCTGAGAACTTCAAAACATCTCTGAGTGCTCTGCAAACAGCGTTACATCTACTAAGAACTTATCTCGAACAATTAAAAGTGAGATGTTTACCGACTTGGAAGAAACTGAAGGTTTCCATCTTTGTTGAAGAAAGAGGACTTACATGAAAGCCTGAATTTTAAAGGAGGGCTATCACATAGCAAACAACAGTTTTTTCATCCAAATATGGGATATAATGTTTTTCAAAGTAAGTGATATTTGATCTTATGGTGACATACACATAGTGGTTTCAAACATGCATTTAGCTGAGTCCTTCTTGGTGCCTCCTCAGATCAAAATGCTCGACCTCAGTCATCACAATTACAAAGTTAATCCATGTCCCTGCTCTTCTGTTAACATACACACTCCGTTTTTCTTTGTTTGTTTGCAAAGAGAATTGCACAAGGATTTTTTAAACACACACACACAGTGAGAAACTTATTGATATGAAGTTCAATACTGCAGGGTAAATATTGCACATGCAGCAGTTGCTAGAACATATAACTGATAAAGGCCTGGGAGATAAATATACTGTAAGGATCGGTATGAATATTTAAAATGTTGAGTTTATATACATAATCCTCTATTTTGAAAGTAAGGCCAGAGGAGAGGAGAAAATAAACAGATGGCTGGGCTTGACTTGCTAACTGCAGATTGTAGGTTGCCGTGTCACTTAGTCTGCAGTCGAGAAGTTGTAAGAAGAATCACTGGGATCACAAGTGCCCCCAACATGAGGCAGGAGAACTGCGCTCCTTACTTAGTACCTTTGTGCACTAAGAGATTGCTGAGCCCAAGAAAGACGTTTCACACATATGATTGTTGACAAAAATACTGTACGTTGTATACTTCAGCAAAACTATGGAGATTTAGTTGATATTGCAAGTTTTTGATCATTTTGTGCTAAAGAATAACGACATAAAGGGAAATAGCAATACGGTCTCACTGCATAGCATGTCAGTACAGTTAGCTGAGTCATTGCTGTCCTTCGCTCCCTTCATTGGCTTCCTGTCCCTTATAGGATTGCTTTTAAACTTTTAATGTTTGTTTTTAAAGTTCTTAACGGCCTCGCCCCCATCTATTTAACTGAGCTTTTAACCGTTCAGGAGCCGGGTAGAGCTCTGAGATCGTCAAACCAACTTCTGCTGGAAGTGCCCAGATCAAAACACAAACACTGGGGTGACCGAGCCTCTTCAGTTGTTGGTCCCAGGCTCTGGAATAAGCTCCCCAACGAAATGAGACTTATTTTCGACCTGGGCCTTTTTAAATCTCGATTGAAAACGTATTTATTTGTGCTGACTTTTAATACCCAGTAGCGTGGTAACATTTTATTTTATTTCATTGTATCTTATTCTTGTATTATTGCTTTTATTGTTTTTATTTATTCATTTTTACTATGTATTGTAAAGCACTTTGGTTCACCAAAAGGGTTGTTGTAAAGGGCTGTATAAATAAAGAATATTTACATTTACATTTACATTGCGCAGTCCATGGTGGGGCTCATCTGGCTACTGCCTCACTGCACGGCCCTTCTCAGTATTTGAACAGTAAATAAGAAAATTCAGCGATTTTGAATAAAAAATAAGGTAAAACTGGTGAAGTTACATGACTGCACGTCACCGAATGGTACGAGACATAAGAATGAAAATGGGCCAAAAGTGCCAGAGTTAATTACAGCAACATGCTTCAAAGAAAGCTAGGAAAGGGCAACAAAGAACTGGAAAAGTTGTGTACTGCTAGAAAAAGAAAAAGAAAAGAAAAAAACAGCTGCAGGAACATTTCCTGACTAATTAATTTCATCTGCTACAGGTAAGTGAAATGACAAGCATCCCAGAGAGACTGAGTGTCTCAAAAACAAAGATGGGAAGACTGCAAGTCTCAAAATCATTTCCAAAACTTTCTGTCTATCAGTGCAGCTCTTCAATGTATCCACAAATGCAGGTGCATTAAAACTGTACTATCCAAAAAGGAACCCTGAAAAAAACAGGATCCAGGAGTGCTGGTAGCTTTCTTCGGCCCGTAGCCCATTCAAGATGGACTGAGGCAAAGTGTAAAATTTCTTTTGGTCTGGACATTATTTTTGGAAAACACAGACATCGCATCATCCACTTGAAAAAGAAGACAGACCGTCTGGCTTCAAAAGAAAGAGCCTCTGATGGTTTTGGGATGCATAAGTGCCCATGGCGTGGGTAGTTTGCACATCTGGGAAAGAACCAGAAACATTGAAGAGTAAAGATTTTGGAGCAAAGTATGCCGCCATCAAGACAATGTCCTTTTCCGGGACGACCGTGCATATTTCAGTAAGACAGTACTACAGAATGGCTTCAATGGCATAGTCTTGGCCTGCAAGCAGACCCCACTGTTGAACCACTGAAAACTTTCAGCTAATCATTGAATAAAAAATACAATAAATTAGACCTTGAACTTCTTAACAGCTGAAATCCTTTACTGGGTAAGAATGAGACAGCATGTAGAAACTCCAGGAACAGTTCTCCTCAGTTTCCAAACAGAGTTAAAAGGAGAGGTAATGCATCTTAGTGGTAAACATGTCCTTGACTTTGAATGATTTGCAAACCATCAAATTCTGTTTTTAATTAACACTTTATACAGCCTCCCAACTATGTAGGAGTTTGGGTTGTATACACGGTTATTATTTACTCATTGAGATATCCATAATCACTTGTGATAATAAAATACAAGATGTGTTTGAATGCAGTTTAATTTAAACATTCCTCTGTGCACTGTAGTGTGATGAACCTCCAGCTTCTAAATGGTTAGGAGCAGGAAGTATTGGTCTCAGCTGACTCGGAGTTTAAACTTATAAAGAAAAATCAATCGGCAGACTCAATAAGGAGCTGCCTGTGCTTTGTCTAGTTAATATTTAAATAGGTTAGGTCCAGGAGCTGGATAGTATTCTCTGTGGAAGCACCTCTGAACACATCTCCGTGTTACTGTGAAGGTGTTTGTTTTGACACAGAACACTGGACCTGTACCTGTAAATATAGCCGTTAAACGTCCAGTAAATATGAATGATATTTTTGATGAATTTTTAAATTTTTAATTTTTGATTTAACAGAAACTGAGTTCAGCACGTCTTAACTGAAACACATTACTTAAACTTTACCCGCCCAGGTCCAAAGCCATAAGGGTATGCGACCGCAGTGTCACTTAAATTTTTATCTGCTATTGATGTTTAATGCTTCACAGTAATTGAAAAAGAGTAGCAGGGGATATACAGAAGTTTGGGGCTCATGGAACTATCTATAGAAGCCCCAGAAGAAGACTGAATTTCTTTATTAGGTTTCCGTCGCAGGAACATGACATTTTGAGCCTGGTTTCAGCTCTGACACTTTTTGATTTAGCAAACCTCGAATCCTCCACTGCAGCAGCAAGATTAGAGCAGAATGTCATCTGCTGCTGACTTCCTTATGTGAATGCCAAATATTAAAATATCTACAATGGGGTTCATCATTATAAGATTGCCTGACGGCTCTTTGTGGCACCGTGTCCTCTGAGATTCTCCTGCTGACACGATGGAAATATGTTTCATGAAAGAGCTGTTTTAAGTGCGGCGCTGTCACAGGGCTCCAAACCCCCTCTGTCTTCCCACAAACAACACCTCTGTTTGGTTGAATTACAGGTGCAGTGTGTGTTCAAGCACAATAATGAACACAATGAAGCCTCCCTCAGCTCTATGAAAACACGTAATGTGCTGTAAGGTCAATTACTGCAATAGCAAATGGATATTATGCCAGGAGTCTTATAGCTTGATATGGGTGAAGGTAAGGTTATATGATGGCAAATAAAACAGTGATTTGCAAAAGTGATTGCTTGCCTCGTAAACACTTTCGATGGCCACAGCGTGCAGAGACAAGTTCCCTGATTGCTTATTGATCATGAATGAGTACCTCAGTGAGAGGAGATCAGCTCAAGGTTACAAGGGTTGGTCAAACAGCCACTAGGCCTGGCACATTTCTATTATTAATGCTTCGCCGTGTTCATTAGCAGTGCTGGGTTAATCCATTGTGAAGTATTTTTTAACATATTCCATTTTTAACTTTACCATTAGCGTTGATAAACAATCACACCGCGTGGTTATGCGTATAGGTGTGTAGGTTGAGATGATTCCACAGAGAGCCATCTATTAAATGTCCATATTCCCCTCTTTAGGTAGCTCATAGCACTGTACGGCTCATTGTTTTGATTCATGGTCACTGCCTTCATCAGCATTGTTTTCAGAAGCAGCAAGAAGCAGATTTTAACTAAAAAAAAGAACTAAAAACTGACTGTATGGTAGCTTCTAGTGGAATATAATCATAACTTGATAATATAATAATTTAAATCAAAAAGAAGGAAAAGCAAATTTTCCAATGTCTACTGTTGTGTTCAAATCAAAAATTGAAAAACAGGATTAGTGCTTAAATATCCAAACCAATTTTCGTCTTGAAAAAACGTAATCCCTCTGTAACCCTAATTTTGATGCAATGTCTTAATATTGTGTGCCAGCTCATTAACACGTAAACCTCAGTGATCTGCCTGTCTGTGGTCATTTTACAGCCTCGTTTGAAGATCAAGCAATATTTTAAACCCAAAACAAACAACAAAAAATTTGCCACCATAACAGCAGAACACTATTACATGATACTGGCACCCATCTGCTTTGTTTCGACTATGATTTCTCTGGAAACAAACATCTTCAAACAGCTGCTGATAATCATCATCCTGAGGTACATATTGTTTCTCCAAACTAACTTTACTGTGACTTCACAAGTTGTAAGGAAGGGGCAGTCTGGCTGAACTGGAGACCTGAAAAGTTGCCTGTTACTTCTTGAGTCGACTTTAAAGCTCCTATGAGGAGTTTTTTTTTATGTCTACACAACAGACTGAAATAAATATATCTGCCTTTTCATGATATCTAAAAGCAAACAAAACCATAAGATGGAAGATTTTTATCACCTTTACAGCCTTTATTTTTAACTACTTCCACATAAAGTATGAACAGTAAATGATTTGGTTATTTTAAGTCAACAGGGTGAGGTTTTTATACATGCAAACAGAGGACAAGACAAAGAAAGACTGTTTTATCCACAGGGAGCGCAAAACTGACAAAAACTGAAAGTTCCTTACAGAAGCTTTAACAAAGAGCCCACATGAGCACTCACCGCCAGCCTTAGACATTTTCTTAAAAGACGTAACGTTCAAGTAGTTTTGTGACTACAGAGCTTTGTGAAAGGAAACATCCACGAACTAAGTCTAACTTCATATCTAAAGAAAAAGAGGTCAAAATGTTTTATAGAGCAACAGCTGGATAGTGTTAAAGTTTGGTCTTCTACAGACACCAGTATATGATTTTAAAAAGGACTTTTCAGAAGTTCGTATCATGTAAAGCCACTCTATAGATATCTGACATAATGGAGGATGAGTATGACAAGTCTCTTTGAGATTCTGTAACTGCGCCATGTTGACATCTTTTAAAAGCTTGGTCCTTGTTTTGCATTTCAATATGGTTTTCTTTTTTGTACTTGAGTTTACAGAAACCCTTTTTTTTTAAATAAATCCACCAGAGACTCTATTTAATTTACATACAAATACCATCTGAAGTCAATTCAAGAGAAATACTGGAAGGTAATGGCAGGAAGAGGGTCTCTTTGTAATTCTATATGCTTGGCCAAAATAGTATATATATATATATATATATATTAAAGTTAAAGCTGCACATGGTGTATGCACTGATCTAATTAGTGAGACACACTCACAAAGAGAAAGTGAATGAAAGAAACAGCATGTCTGCTCAGTTGGGGTGCCTGCTTCAGAGTAGACAGGCATGTGTGCATATCATATGTCTTTTCATGAGAAGTAGGGGAGACATTTGCCAGGCTTGTGTTATAATCTATAGGTTCTTAGAGGAAAGGGGGGATCAGGCGAGGATTGTAAACCATATTTCAAAGGGACTGAACAAGATAAAAAAAAACCTCAACATTCCTTTGCTCTCCTCTGTTCCCCAGCTGTGGGTATCAATCATTCTCTAATATTCCCAGCATGTCTTCAGGGTCTCTCCGCTAGGGCCCTAGAGCCCAGCTTATGGCATCCTTCAGATCTTTCTCTCTTTCATGTGAATGCTCACTCTGAATCCAACATTTCCGACCAGCATAAAGATTTAGGTTGGGCTTCGACGTGTAGGGACGGGGGGGCTGGGGTTTTCTTTTGTGCTTGATGAATATGCTCCGCAAATTTGAGAGGTCAGTGGCCAAAATAATCAAAATGGAGAGCAGCAAGAAAGTTTGGTTTTGAAAAAAGCATCCGGGATAAAGCAAAAGTTTAAACTTGCTTTGATGCAGTTAGAAAGTGTAAGGCTATATGTTCTCTATATGCTATAGGGAATAGAGACATAGAGACATAATAGTCCTTTTTTCTGAAGAACAAAGGAGTGTAAAAAAAAGTTCAAAAGCTCAAGTGGTCGACTATCTGTCATGTTGGTCTTTTAGGCTACAGTCTGGGATTAAGGAGTTTATGAATTCCACAGTCTTTCATTTTGAAATGTGCTCAACATGTACAAGCATTTATAGCTGAGTGTAATATTTTTTCCCTACACTCTTGTCGTCGTCTTTGTTTTCCTCCGGGTCACGGGTGCAGCAGCTTCAGGAGGGAAGCCCAGACGACCCTCACCCCAGCCACTTCCACCAGCTCCTCTGGGGGGGATTCCCAAGCACTCCCAGGTCAGGCGAGAGATATAATCCCTCCACCTGGTCCACGGGATCTCCTCCCAGTCGGACATGTCCAAAACACTTCTAATAGGAGGCATCCAGAAGGCATCCTAACCAGATGCCCGAGCCACCTCAGCTGACTCCTCTCAGTGTGGAGGAGCAGCGGTTCTACTCTGAGCGCTTTCCGAGTGTCCGAGCTCCTTACCCTATCTCTAAGGCTGAGCCCTGCAAAGGAAACCCATTGCGGCTGCTTGTATGCGCGATCTTGTTCTTTTGGTCATTACCCAAAGTTCATGACCATAGTTGAGGGTCGGCAAGTAGATCGACCGGTAAATCGAGAGTCTCGCCTTACGGCTCAGCTTTTCCTTCATCACGGATCTGTTAAGCATCCGCATCACCCTTTTTTTTTCTACACTCCTGACTCACCATAATTTTATTATAAGGGTTTATATTTCTGCCTTCAATCATGTGTTTCTAAGACAGCTGTTGTTGGTTTGTTTGTTGTTTTTTGGTACAATTTTGCTAAAATGTCCATTTCAAGTCTTTGAGTGATCTTCAGCGTAACAAATCATGAAGACAAGTTCATGGTCTTGATTAAACAGTCGGTGATGTCAGGTTGATGTTTTAATATGATGATGGTGGTTTTATTTCAGATGTTACTCCTGATAGTTTTTACTCATTTTGCTGAAGCAGGATCCCTAACCCCCCACTGTTTCTTAAACTCCTAAAGACTGAACATACTCAAACAAAATACAGGCGACCCATGAGGATAAAGAAAGACTGGGAGATGGCTGTGAGGTTTTAAGCTGACAATACTTACAAAAAGTGAAATCTCATACAGTATTCCCAGTGCACCTCTGTGCAGAGAAATCTAATTTATAAACTACTTATTTGATTGTGCCGCACTCAGTGGCAGTTTTTTCTTTCCACTATGAAAAGTGATGGGTTATTTTCTTTTTCTTTTTTTTTCTATATAAATTCCAGAAAGGAGGTTTGGTGTATATCAGGTTATTTTAGAAGTGGCAACAACAGCACTCTGGCTAAGGTGAAGATTACTGTTTAGATGAAATAAAACATTTCCTTCCCCGTGGGCCTTAAGTTACTGTTGAATTTTTTCCACAACTACCCATGACCATGTTTTAGTAGTTCAAGTGTTTAAACCAACATTTCTGTGTTCAAGTGTAGCACAGAGTGTTTCATCTACTTTCATCTACTCAAATAAAGTACCTTCATGTAAATAAAAGTGTTGAAAACCAAACATTTTTAAAGCTAGACAAGAAATAAGAGCAAAAATAGAGGTTCCCTGCTTATTAATGAAGAATTGGACATCTCTGCTAGTACATCTTTAGAAGACTGATGGCTACAGACCAAAGTAAATGTTTCCATCAACTGTAGGCGTTATATTCTCTGAGCATGTGCCAAATTTTCTGATCTTTTAACAAAGTGTGCCAATACTTCATTAAAGTGATTTTACTGTATGTGCTCACTAAAGTGCTGTCACGCTGACATACATTTATTTGGATTTTGCTTGAAATGTTAATGTCTGTGGTCATCATCCCAGGACAAAGGTGGGCTGATATTTTCTTAATTTCTGTTTTTTTTTTGTTTTATGTTTACGGGGTCATCATAAAGGGGATTATGATATCCATCCATCCATTATCTGTATTGCTTTATTGCTTTTCCCATTCAGGGTCATGGGGGGAGAACTGGAGACTATCATTACTATCATTGGGCAAGCCGGGGGGGGTTTACCCTGGACAGGTGGTCAGTCTATCACAGGGCTGACATACAGAGACAGACAACCATTCCCACCTACACACAATTTAGAGCGACCAATCATCCTGACAAACATGTTTTTTGAAGCCAGAGAACCCACACACGCAAACGGTTTGAACCAGGAACCTTCTCACTGTGAGGCAACAGCAACACCAACTGCACCAGCGTACGGCCCATTATGACTAACATTTAGACCATTACCTCAGCTTGAGCACAGCATTGATGTTTGTGTATGCATTCCACATGTTCCAAGACAGCAGGCTACGAGTTCAATTACATCTGCTTGGTTTGCAGTTTAAAAAGCACTGTTTACAGTTGCTGCTCGCTTAGGAAGTCGCTCAACATGCAGGGCGAACAAATGTCAATCAATGAGTCTTAATTTAACTGTATTTGGTTTCATTACCTCCACCAAGGAGGTTATGTTTTCAGTAGCGTTGGTTTGTTTGTTAGTCTGTTAGCAACTTTATGGAGAAAGTAACAGACGGATTGACCTGAAATTTTCACCAGAGGTGCGTCTCAGCCCCAGAAGGATCCCATTACATTGTGGTGGTGATCCGGATCGCCTTCTGGATCCAGGAATTTTTTGAAGGATTCTTTATCATTGTGAGATAGGGCAAATTTTTGAATTTTTGCATTTAACTCTATAAAAATGTCCAGAGTCTTTAGTAAAAAATTACACAAAAGGATCTCAATGAGTTTTATGAGGTGTCAAAGGTTGATCCTGATCCAGACAAATTCCGGATACTGTGATCCAGAACACACAAAAATAAGGGTGTCATTGGAATTTTCACGCTGAAAGATAACCAGTGAAGATACAAGGAAGTGTACGCTTACAAATATTGCACAATAAATCATGAATTTATGTATCTAATATGAGCTTTGTTGTTTTAGGAACATTATGAACAGTGAACATATCAGTTTACACACAAATAAACGTTAATAAAAGACACGTAACAGTAAAAGTTTTGGTGTGAATCACATATAAGGGGGGACATGAGCTGCTTGGCGGAGGTCTGCGCTCTCCGAGTGCTTTTCTAGTTTTATCTCAGAATTTATCCAGTGGAAAAAGTCGACATGGTTCATTTTGTTAGACTTAAAGCAAAGATCTTCTTTTATTTGGGGGCAAACTATTCCTACCTAGTAAATGTTGCTTCATTGCTCCCAAATTAAGCTCTTTCAAAATACTTTACTCACCGGAATAGATCAAAGAAAATTCATTTCGAATTGCTGCTTAAAAATAAACCAGAATACAAGAATTTAAACTTGCCTAAAAATTTAACAAGATAGGACCCCCAACCCCGAAAAGCAACCAGGCTAACAACACCCTTTAAATCCAAGCCAGTAATAAAGGGAAATAGCAGCACTGCTTTGAACAAAGGGAATAAGCCTTTCTCATGTTTCTATCTGGGTTAAGCAAGAGCAGGCCATGGATCATATCACTGTTAAGTAATTAGCAAGCATATTTATTTAACCTCTTATAATATGGTACCTTCAGTGCTCTTATTTCCTAGTGTATTGTGTGTGTTTATGCCAGCCTTGAGAATATCAGTATGAAGGTCGTTATAATAGCACATATCTGTCATAACAATTCACACCTTTAAATACCTTTTCTTCCAGCCTGAGAACCATAAACTGACCCCATGAATATAATAAGTTATACACTGCTCAGACTGTATATAAACAGAATGAGCATAAACAACACAGAGTATTAAATTACACCGTAATTGTTCATGCCAAGACTCCCGTGAGGTACGCCGAGCAGTCTGCTATTTTTAGATTGCTTCAAACGTAGGGAAGCATGAGGATCTAAATTTTTCAGCACCACCCGCTGCCAAGCATGAAAACTGAACAAGATTAAGTCGTGCGAGGGTAATTTGCTGCATCAGCTTTCTTTCCTTGTTTATTTGTTTGTTTATTCAAATTTCAGCTACACCTCGCTCAGCTGCATGTACTGTTCACGCCCCTCACTTTATTGGAGCTGCGTGGCCACCAGAGGAGGTGCAGGATGACAAATGAGGGAGGAAGACACAGTGGGAGGTCATGGCGAGGTAGCGGGCTACCTCTCGCTGGGTAAATAAATAAGCCATGGTGCTGTCAGCACTAGCGAATATTCATCAGAATAATAGCCACCTTGGGGTTGGTTAAATGTTCCAAGGAAACATCAAGGTCAGTCTACGCGCCCTGATAACACTACAAACTTCAGGAAATGTCCCATTTGTGTCTTTAAAAAACAGCTGAAGCTTATGGAGAAATTATATTTGGGGAAAATGTTAAATTTAAGTTACTGATAACTTTTTATCACCAGCGCATCCTTGAACATGTAATCCCTGAAAGAGAAAACAGGTTTATCTGGGCACCACATTTTGCACAAAGCAATAAATCACCAGCAAAGGTGTCATTAAAATTATTGATCCTTTCCATACAGCACCTTTTGTAGCTTTGCAGCTTACATAACCACAACAAAGAAAGGCTCTCAAGAGAATCTGACATCCTGTGGACATGTCTTTTTGCCAGACATTCATTTTGCTCTTGTCACACAACCTGCCATCATTCAGCACTTGAAAGAACATGTAAAATGTATCCCCGGTGCCATGTTTTCTGCGTCCTTGGCTTTTCAGTTCTTTAAGCGGCCAACAGAGGCTCAGACATGGAGGTGGAGGTTGGTATGCACTTAGATTATTTAAGTTAATATGCACCTGAAGCACAGTTAGACTCTACTAAAGGGATATTACTCACCTAAAGCACTGTCTTGATTATGCCGTAACACTGCATAATGGGCCTTTATGTGGTTACATCTCTGTGAAGTTTTTAATGGCATTTGAGGGATTTGCTTGCACAAAAAACCTGACTTGAACTTCTTTTTCAATAAATTATTCAGAATGGAAAGCAGCTGAGGTTTCATGTGTTTATTTTCTGGTTTAAATATTCAGCCATAGAAACACGTACAAATACAAATTCCTTATAAATGCTTAATCTTGAAATCGTCAAAGAAATCCAAGTTTGGATGAGGCTAAAACTTTTGTCCGTGACCTGCCTCCTTTTTAGAGTCTGTGATTGTCTCCAAATGAAGAGGTTTGATGTGTTTGTGAATTCGAGAAATACAAAGTATTATATTCTGTGGAGGCTACATGCCTCAGAGAGATGTTATCAATTTTACTTTCATGTTGGAAATACCAGCCTTTCAATTTTAATGGGCTGTACAGGTGGAAAACAACTTGAGTAATTCATCACATTTTAAAAGGTTGAATTTTAAAGACTGAAAAGCAGTCAAGGCCCTGAGTTACAGTATCAAGGGCAGTTATTAATATATCAAGTAATTAGCATGCTTCTGAGTGGTATGAATGAAAGTAATTGCATTGGACCTCTTTCCCACCTTGCCTTTCCCTTAAATTTTATAGAAATGGAAATTCCGTCACGACCTCTTGACCCTGTGCATTATTCAGGTGAGCGGTATACCTACTATTTCTCTCAGAATATAGCCCAGGGCCCCGGGTTTTTAGCACGTGTTGAAACCTCTGTGAGGCTCCGGAGAGTCGAGGCGGGGATTTATTACCCTTCACACACCCTTTTGGCTTCTTGAAAAATACCTCCCTTTGGATTAAATGTTAAAGACTGAGGCGCTCACTTTTTGTAGGGAAACTAAATTAACCTACATACCCTAAAGCTCTCTTCTTCTACCTCACACTAAAAAGCCAAAAAGTGCATAAAGCATAACGTTAATGTCAGTGATACAGATGGAGAGCAAAGGAGCTTTGAAGCCACCCACACAGACACACCGACTGCTCTTTTACATGAGACTATTAAATCACCGTGTGCATACAGTTTGCATGATAAATGTTTTGTACATTAGTAATGGCAGAGTAATGCCATATAACTTATATCAGGGTCTATATATTATATGTAAATGTGCAGTTATATGGTGCCAATTCCCTTGTCTGATTTCTTTTTATTGATGTTATTACAAAAGACAAATCATCCATAATGCAATGCCATTGTTTCTTCATTTACCTTGGTAGTCTGGGCGCATGCACACGCTATTTTTTTCTTTTTTTTATGCATGTATTTGCATGCATTATTTTGAAAATTGCCTGAGAAGAAGCCTCCTCTTCAGCTGAGTGGAATAGTGCTGCTCATCAAGCTTCAATTACATGCTCTTAAATGATCTGTGAGGAAAAAGTCAAGAGCTGTCAGCTCACTCAGGCTACATATTATGTTATATAAAATGTTTGTTTTAATGTCAAACCTGTCACCTGCCTTAACATAGTTACAGGAATCACCAAAGTATACACAGAGGATTCTTATTTGAAAGTTTCTTTTTCTTTTTTGCACGTGTTGGAACTACCCTTTATTTCTTTGTATAATTTTGATAATTCTGCCTCCAGTAGAAGATGCAAACAAATCCGTAAACAGCACACAGATTTGTTTGCATCACCTTGGGTTTTTTAATGTAAAACAAAGCTAAGACTTGTTTTTAAAAATACTGATCCACAGCACATACATGGTGGCACAACCACTGTACATCATGGTATATGGTGCTGTTGTTAATGGACGTAGGTGTAGGTGTGCTGCTTTTTTGGCCCAAAATCAATCCTCTTACAGGGAGAACCATGGACATAAACCATGGAACCATGTCCATAAACTTCTTGCAGACAGTCTAGTATTTTGTAATTGTTGTTTCTGCCTAAAATGGTTGACTATTGATCGCACTCTGCATGTGCAAAAGTCACAACTGTGAATAAACAAAGGGAAAAGCTGAAGAAGAATGATGAGGTTGGTGTAAGATGAAACTGTGAGACAGGAAAAGTTTGCTGAGCTGCAGCAACAACACCCCTGCCTTTGTGATGTGTCATAGAGGGATGACCATGACCACGATGGACTGAAAAAAAAAAAGAACATTTCCAGGTGTTGTCTAGTCCAGTTAATTTTCTCTTTAATAGCATTATCCCTACCCTGAGGATTTCTTGTGTCTGTTGAGTCACACAACCAAATTTTTGGCTCCGTGATCACCTTAAAAACGTCACGTAGTCTGACCTCAGCATGTCTAAGAAAAAGATACTGGACAGTGAGTGGGTGATTATGCAAACTAGAATCCCAACAAGGTGAGACAAGACCCTAACACACAAAAGGGTCAATCAAAGAAATCCTGAGTCCTTCCTTCATAAAGAGAGTCAATTTAACAGTTTAAGAATAAACTAAGCACTCTCGTTTACGTTAGAGTCTTAACATCAGCCTGTTTGAACATTACAAATCAAATCAGACAGAAGATATTTACTCCGAGAAAAGTCAAAACATGAACATTTTTCCATTGGTATTCTTCACAGCTGCAGAAA